GAGCATGTGCTATATGCTGTTCATCCTGGTTCTGTTAACTGCTGCATCTTTGTGGCTAAATCCTCTTATCTTCTGTAGCTTGGTGGGTTAAATTCCTTGTTAGCAGTTGAGCACTCTCCATCAATTCCTATGGTTTCGAAGGTTCCCACAATTATCCTGGGTATGGATGTCTCACATGGATCTCCGGGGCAGTCAGATGTCCCATCTATTGCTGCGGTAACCTGCTTAATTTCCGGCCTATCATGTTATCTTATCGTCTTTTCCTTTTGCTAAGCTAAGTCTGAGTGCTATGTGAAGCCTGCCTCTCAATGTATAAGTGCTGATGGTATCCGTTGACCACAACTTTGGAATGTGTTTCATGGAAATGTTTTTCTACCCTATTTTCTAGGTGGTAAGCTCCAGGCAGTGGCCCTTGATTTCTCGCTACAGGGCTGCTGTTCGGACTCAATCTCCAAAAGTTGAGATGATTGATTCTCTATATAAGCGAATTTCTGACACGGAAGACGATGGGATTATGAGGTCGGGTATCTTATCTTTAAGCCATTTGGGTGCTGGATTTTTTTTCTTAAGCTCTAGTTCATTTCCTTTTCTAATTCTGACTATGTGGTTAAATTTCCTTGTATGCAATATTTGCTGAAACTAGAAGCCAGGGGTGTGTTTGGGAGTTATATAGGAAAAATACTTAATTAAGAATCATTTTGAACTTGGTTATAAGTTGGTTTTGAAGTGCTTTCTGATCCATCACTTTGGCTAAAACCATTCTACAAGTGTCCTCAAGGTACTTTTTGAGTTATTTCCAGGCCGAAACACCTGAAATCATTATTAAATAGGATCTACAGCTGGCTCAAATATTGTCAAGCTTGGCAAGGTTTGAGATACCATCTCAGATATTTAAATTTTTTTAAAATAGTAATAACAGTATATGTCCAATCTCTTCCTGTACTGAAAAGTAGCTTCATTTCTATAGTGCATGGTTTGCTGACTTCAAAAGTTCGTTTTCCATTTTGAATTTTAGGGAGCTTCTACTTGACTTCTATACTAGCTCAGGGAAAAGGAAGCCCGACCAAATTATTATATTCAGGCAAGTTTATTTCTAATAAATCCAGTGAGATCCTTGAATCAGCGCTATTGCATGGATTTTACTACATTTACTCAAATTGGCAATTAAAGTTAGAAACATCAGGATGTGCCATTTATTAGCACAGTTTGTGTCTATCGTTTGCATGCTTCTGAAGTTGCTTTTATACTTTCTTTTGGGCAGGGATGGCGTCAGTGAATCCCAATTCAATCAAGTTCTAAATGTTGAGTTAGATCAGATCATCCAGGTTTTAAGTGCTGCATTGAATTATTCTTAATATTCTCAAGGATCATTCAATTTAAAGATTATATAACCTTTTCCTTTTTTGAAATCTTTAGTCCTGCAAGTTTCTTGATGAAAATTGGTCTCCGAAGTTTGTGGTGATCGTTGCACAGAAAAATCATCACACTAAATTCTTTCAGTCTGGATCTCCTGACAACGTTCCTCCTGGTATACCTACTATTGACATTTTTAGTGCATGCAGTTTAATTGGTCTACCTCTAAATAATACTTATTTACACTTTTGCAGGAACCATTATTGACAACAAAATTTGTCATCCAAGAAACAATGATTTCTATCTGTGCGCACATGCTGGAATGATTGTGAGTTTTGTGTCTAGGATTTTGTTTTGGACGTATTTTATTAGCTCTTCTGTTTTGTTTTGTTCTTTTCTTTTTTTGGTTGCTAATTTTGTTTCACTCTTTATATTCTCCAAGGGTACTACAAGGCCAACTCATTATCACGTTCTGTTAGATGAAGTTGGTTTTTCGGCGGATGACCTGCAAGAACTTGTCCATTCTCTATCCTATGTGTAAGTAGTATTTAATTGAGATAAAAATCTCATTCTTTATTCACAAGTTCATACATGGTTATTGTTATTCTTTTAATCGTGTGTATTTTATTTTACAGGTACCAAAGAAGTACTACTGCTATTTCTGTAGGTAAGAATATATTCTAGTCCATTACCTTCTCTGTTATCGACATATGTTTTGCGGGATACTGAAAACAAAGTTGTACTGGATTTAATATCATTCTTGTTTCATTCGTTCAGTTGCTCCGGTTTGCTATGCACACTTGGCGGCGACCCAGATTGGACAATTTATTAAGTTTGAAGGAACATCAGAGACTGCGTCGAGCGATGGTGGGTTGACAAGTGCTGGGGCAGTTCCTGTGCCGCAACTGCCCCGGTTGCAGGAAAAGGTTTGCAACTCCATGTTCTTCTGTTGAGGGGTGGAGTTCAGAAGAAACAAGTGACTGGCGTGGCCTCGTAATGGTGGGTAAATTAGTATCGTCTAGTTTTGTGTTGCGTCCTGACTTAGTGCACAGGAGATGGTAGGGGGTATCCATCAGTAGATGGGTACAAGTTTATTTAGTAGGAGTGTTGTGGTTTAAGATAATCACCCTTTGCCCTTTGTGTTTGAACAAACCTGAACTCGATCTTGGTTTCTTGTGTCGCTGCTGGCTCCCTTTGTTCAGTATATAAATGCCAGCAAGGAAGAATGGCAAGGGACTTTTGATTTTATGGTCCAAAACTATCCTATAAAAGTTGCTGTTGGTCACCTGCATGCACTCGACAGTTGACAGACATGAATGAATGTGACCATTTTATTTTATTTTTCTGTGCTTTTGTTCCCCCCTCTTTCTAATCTTTATATTAAGCGTCTTGTGGTGTATTGGGTTTCAATTTCTTTCAGAAATTCATACACTAAATATATTTTCCTCAAAAAACAAAATTAAATAATAACTTTAAGAATTTGAGATTGAAAGCTACTTGACACAAAATAATATTAATAATGTTTCACTAATCATTAAAATCATATCAAATACGTTTAAAACTAGAAACGTCAAACAGACTTTGTCAAGTTAATAAAAAAAAAATGATTCTTGTTATTTTTATAATCAGAAAAACAGTAGTGATATAAAAAACTGCTAATTTATTTAAAAATAGGTGATGCGTTCACGACTTCACGTCATGATAAAATAAGTTTGAAAAAAACATAACAGAGTAGCAGTAGGAGCAGATGTAGAAGTCGCAGCTCACCTCTTCCTTTCTTTTTTCCCCTCTGCTTCTCTTCTCTTACGCGCTTTCCATTTCTCTTCTCTTCACCAGAAGAAGCTCCTCCTTCATTCTGTGCTTCAATGGCCGAGCGCGTTTATCCCACGTCTGAGTCTGACTCTGACTCGCTTCAGCCTTCTGCTTCTGCTGCATCTTCTGTAAACTCCGGCGACTCTATCCCTCCACCTAGTTCCAAAAACCCTCCCCCTGGCACCTATGTCATCCAGCTCCCC